GGTGAAGGGCCAGATAGCCCTTCAAACGAAGATTTTTCGGGAGCACACTTCAAACGAAGGGGTATGAGAAGTGTCACTGCTAACCCAGGCTGGCTGCCCAAGCGACAAAGGAGACCCATAAATTTAAGTATTTGTGGCTTTAATAAGAATTATAACGACAAATAATGATTTGCTTTATGTTACATTCAATATTGTGTTCATATTTACGGTCAGTTTCTTCACAGAAACGTTTGTTAAAAAAAAAAAAAAAAAAAAAAAAAAAAAAAAAAAAAAAAAAAAAAAAAATCGCTAAAATTACTGTAGTTTGCTAACGATAGTCCCGCAACATATTTTCGTCGTCTCCGTTGTTTCCTGCGAACTTCACAAGATGCAAGAAAATAGCTGTAACCCACGCGACTGATAACTGCAGCTGTCGACGGGATCTTGGAAGTTGTGATAAACATCGGCGCATCTCCTGTGACGTAGGCGCTAGCGACGACTTATAATGACGTTTAACTGAGGCGTAGTGGTGTCCCATTTCTTAGGGGAATATTTTCACCCCTAGGCATTGCCACTCTGTTTCAAGGGTCAAGGGGAAGGCGAAGGGGTAGGGCTAGGGGAAAGGGAAGGGGTAAGGGGTAGAATTGGGATTGGCCCATAGTTTATGATGTAAGATGTGCTTTATGTCATTAAAGGGTTAGTTCACCCAAAAATGAAAATTCTGTCAGTATTTACTCACCCTCAAGACCTTCGTTCATCTTCGCAACACAAATTAAGATATTTAAGATATTAAGATCACTCCTGCATACTAGTCCATAGGCTTCTTGAGGGAATGACTCGAAAAGTCATTAAAGACATCGTTAAAATAGTCCAAGTGACTACAGCGGCTCAATCTTAACTTTATCAAACGACGAGAACACTTTTGTGCGCAAAAATGACGACTTTATTTCAACTGTTCGTTTATTTCTCCCTCTGCGCGAGTCAGGTTACTAGTTTAATAGCGTAAGCTTCTGTTATTGTACGTCACACGCATCACACACACATGACCAGCGTCGGCCAATAGTGAGCCTACGTGTGACGTAGCTCTACGCAATCACACTACGTTAACTGACTACAGGCCCATGGAGAAGGAAGTGAATAGTTGAAATAAAGTCGTTATTTTTGTTGTTTTTTGCGCACAAAAGTGTTCTCGTCGTTTGATAAAGTTAAGATTGAGCCCCTGTAGTCACTTGGACTATTTTAACGATGTCTTTAATGACTTTTCGAGTCATTCCCTCAAGAAGCCTATGGACTGTATGCAGGAGCGATCTTAATATCTTAAATATCTTAATTTGTGTTGCGAAGATGAACGAAGGTCTTACGGGGTTGAACAACATGAGGGTGAGGAAATACTGATAGAATTTTCATTTTTGGGTCAACTAACCCTTTATTCCTGCTTTGACACACAGGCGTCGTGGCTCAGGCCAGATCGGTTCTCGCGTGGCACAGCCGGTACCGGTTCTGCCCGACGTGTGGCAGCACCACTAAAGTAGAGGAGGCCGGCTACAAGAGGACCTGTTTGAGAGCAGGCTGCAGAAGTCTCCAGGGCGTCCACAACACCTGCTATCCCAGAGTCGGCAAGTAATCTCCCGATTACGGCTCAGCCGGAGCTCCGGGAATATGATCTTTCACTCGTCTGGCTTCTTCCAGATCCGGTGGTGATCATGTTGGTCATTCATCCCGATGGGAATCAGTGTCTGCTGGGACGCAAGAAGAGCTTTCCTCCAGGAATGTTCTCCTGCCTCGCCGGGTTCGTGGAGCCAGGTATCCAAAACCCAACTCTGGATCAACGAGTCTCTAATTCAGTTTGATCACATTTAACACCATAGAAGCGTCCATACTTCTCTTATGCCATTTCTTCCAGGTCATTTCAGAAAATGACAAAAAAAACTTTCAGAAAAGTCATTTCAGACTTTTCAAATCACAATTCCCACTTTTAGGAAGGCATTTTAGAAATGATTGTGAATTCAGAGATTCTGACTTAATTCTGAGAAATAAAATCAATTGCAAGATGTAAAGTTTAAAAATGTATTTGCACATTTTTATCACTTTCCGACCAAAAAAAATCCAAATTGTGAGGGAAAAAAAAATGTCACAATTACTTTTTTTAATTTTGTTATTCTGTGGTGGGAAAAAGACCCATTAAACCATTAATTAAACCAAATTGCGATGTGTAAACTAAACGCCATACTTTTCTTACACAGCTTAAGACATTTTATGCCCTTAAATTTGATAAAACTGAATTTAAGACTTTCTGCAAAATGTAAACTTTAGTTTAAAAAGGTCGCAATTGTGTACAAAAAAAAAAACTAAACTGAATTGTAAGATATAATTCGCAAGTGTGAGAAAAAAAAAGTCATTAGATAAACAAAGTGTGAAAAATGCTATACAATTAAATGTGAATCGATTATTTCTGTGGACAAAATTCTGAGGAATAAAATCAAGTTAAAAAGGCAAATTGCAACATTATATCTCAATTTTAGATTTTTTTGTAAGAAAATTGTCAAAATGAGAGGGGGAAAATTTTTTTTTTTATTCCATGCCGGATACTAGCTTCCATACTTCTCTTATACCATTTAAGATATTTATTTTCACGACTAAAAGTTAAAAGATTTTTATCTCTCAATTCCAACTTTTCCTAGAGATTTTTCTGAAGAAAAGTATAAAATTGTGTGGAAAAACGTCACACAAATGAATGTGAATTCAGAGGTTCTGACAAATCAAATCAAAATTGCAAGATTTAAAGTTTAAAAAACCTTAATTGCACATTTTTCTCCCAAAATTCAGATATTTTTTTCTAGAGAATTTTATGTGGGCGGAAAAATCTGAATTATGAGGTGATATGTCAAAATTACCTTTTTTATTCATTTTATTGCGTGACATGATTTTTTTTTTATCTCACAATTCAAACCTTTTTCCATATAATTTTCTTAGAGTCGTGAGATTTAAACTCGCAATTGTGGAAAAAGTCTGAATTATAAGATACAAATTTGCAAGTGCGAGATAAAAAGAAAAACGCCATAGAATTAAATGTGAATCGAACTGAAATGTAAATTTATTACGTGGACATAATTCTGAGAAATAAAATCTAAATTGTGAGATGTAAGAAGGCAACATTATCTCACAATTCAGACTTTTTTTTTTTTTAAAGAAATTGTCAAAATGTGAGGGGAAAACACGTTTTGTGTATTCCTAGGATGGCGTGACGGCGCGTAAATCATGGGCTAGCTTTGATTTTAAAGGTAAGTACTCGTGTGATTGATGTGCCGCTCAGGTGAGGCGCTGGAGTCGGCGGTGCGGCGGGAGGTTCTGGAGGAGAGCGGTGTTCGGGTGGGACCCGTGCGGTACCTGTCGAGTCAGGCCTGGCCCATGCCCTCCTGCCTGATGATTGGCTGCCACTGCGTCGCTCTGACCACTGACATCACGGCGGACGAGAACGAGATCGAAGAGGCGCGCTGGTTCACACGGCAGCAGGTGCGTCGCTCACACACTACTTCAGCCTCTTCCTCTGCAAACAGCTTTCTGCACTTTATTATTTACATTTATGCATTTTGACGACCCTTTTATCTATTCGACATTTACATTCTTATCAGTTCTTGCTTTCCCTGGGATTCGAACCCATGACTTTTAGCGTTGCAAGCGCCACCGATATCCTGTTTGAGCTCCAAGAAAGAAATTTGTTTTGCATATTTATGTACTTTTCTGTAAATATCTATTTTTTTCTCCTCTCTAAATTGTATTTAATTGTACAGGTGAATCTTGAAAAATGTGAATATTATTTTATTATTATCAGTCATTTAAATTAAAAGGTGAAACTAATATATTTAGTATATATATATCTATATACATGCATGATTATACTTTTCAGAGAGGCGACATTTCTGCATTTAAAATCCTTTTTTTAATTGATCTCATGTAATATTCCAATTTTCTGAGATTTTGAATTTGGGGTTTTGCACGATATTCTGATTTTCCGAGTTTGACCTGTATATTTTGCACTATTATTGAACGCCTGAGCCTCAACCAATGCCTTCCAATGTACAAATTGTCTTGGACACTTGTAAATGTGACATATTAAATCAACTAAACGCCCACTTAATGACCGTTGTCATAAACATGCATAAAACCTCCTTCATATTCATAACGTGTGTCATGTCAGTCTTATGCACACTCCTTCAAGTAAAGTGTTAATGAAATGGTACCAAACATGCATAAAACACCTTTTACAAATAAATTCAATGATCTAATAAGACTATCAAGTGTTTATACGTGGTTCTCTTATCAATTGTCAGTGTTTGGTTAGTTCTATGAATGGCTCAGCTAAACAACAGGCCAATAAGAGACTATTAACTACCATCTTAATATATTAATGTTTAATTAAAGTGTCGAAGTGTTTGGAAACGTTTGTGGCGTAATGAAGCCTCGTTTGCTCGTTTCAGGTGATGGACGCTCTGGTGAAGGACCAGCGTGCCGTGTTCAGCATGCCCCCCCGACAGGCCATCGCACACCTCCTGCTCAAACACTGGAGCGGCTGCAGCGCCAACCTCTGACCCCTTCATCAAACTCTTCAACAGTCAACTCAATCAGTCGGCCGTTCTTTAGAGAATATAGAAGTCAAATTAAATTAAAATCATCACATGACCGCAGAAAATGCTCGATATCCTTGTATTGTAATCATTAGAAGCACCAGATTCATCATTAAGGTGATTGACACACTCATCTGTGTAACGTTGAAACAATGAAGAGTGCAAATAAACTCAAACGGACTGTTTCGTTTCTCTTTAAACGGTTTACCTGTGTATTTTACTGTAGTTTGCTGTTGCAAACCGGAAGCACCATGACTGTGATATATTACACAATACTGATATGACACAATACTGTAACTGTAAAATACATCATGTTTCTGAAACGGTTCTCGACCCTTCTGTATACAGCAGTTTTCAACAACGGATCAAGGAGATGGATGCTTTTTTTTTTATTTACTCTTAACTTATACCCGATTAAAGATTTCTAGAGCTTGGTATGATTAGAAAAATGTGCATTTATTTTAAAAATTCCCATGGAACTACACATTTTACATACGATTTTATTCATTTCCATGACTTTTCCACTTTTAAAATAAAGCTTCCTTGATTAAAGACTATTGGAAATCATGGCTCTTCAAAGAAAATAAATTAAAATAAAGCCTTAAATATGGCCTTATATTTGAAAAAACTGAATTCAAGACTTTTTTTTTTTTTTTTTGCGAGATGTAAACTTGCAATTACGAGTTTAAAAAGGTGATTGTTACTTTATATCTCACATTCTTTGGAAAAAGGTTTGAATTGTGAGATTTAAACTCGTAATTGTGAAAAAAGGTCTAAATTGTAAGATAAAAATTTGCAAGAGCGAGATAAAAAGTTAGAATTGTTAGATTAAGAGTATGAAAAACGCTATACAATTAAGAGCCAATTAAACTAAAATGTGAATTTATTTTGTAGCGAAAAATTATAAAAAAAAAAAAGTTCAAAAAAGCAACATAGAAAATTACAGCAACTTAAAATAAGATTTTTGTAGTTGTATAATCTTGTTTTTAATTCAATTAATTCAACTACATCAAATGTTATATAGTACATGCAAACGTGAAAGTTGTGTGAGATTCTTCTGATACAGTCGATTGAGACGAGATTAAAAGCGTTCGTGGTTTATCACAGTCGGGAAATATAGATATCAGTCTGAGGGTTTCTCAGAAAACTGAAATACAATTTGTCCATTTTGAACATAATCGGAGCGATCGGCTAATAGGGGTAACTGGACGTACTCGGGCGGGCTGGGGGCGGGGCTCGTGGGGATCTTCGAAGGAGGCGTGTCCTCATGTTCTGATGTCACAGACTCGCGCCGCTCCACGTATATGAAGCTCTTCTCACGCTGGTCCAGCGGGAACACACTCTCCAGCTTCAGCACACACATCCGTCCGCTGCCCTGTTAGCATCACACGTTAGCCACACAAACGGCCTTTTCTTACCGTGTTTTAATTCGGCAAGAAAGTGAAAGTGCCCCGATTATGCTTTCTGTGATATTCCCTTCGGCAGTCGAGCTGTTTATGAGCACCAAGTTAATGTTAAGATTAGATAAATGGAGTTTAAAGTAGATTTGTAATTTGCATAATGCCCGCCTCTGGTCTTGATTGGCTGAGCAGCACCTCTTAGCTCCGCCCTCAAACACTAGTTTATCTGAGACTGGAAGAGTTTAGTTCGTGTTTGTGTCGAGAATAAACTGTTTGATACGCCATCGTCACTGCTCGTATCAAGAGCTGAGATTCAGATATGATAATGACCAATCACAGCAGAGCAGCTCTCAGAGAGGCGGAGCTTAGAGAGACTGAATCCTCGATCGAAGCGTTTCAGACACTGATGCTGTAATGGAGATTATGAGGAAACTACTGTTTTTTTTGACGTTGCATGCATGCAATCCTTTCTAAAAATATAAAAATGGCATAATAGGGACACTTTAATTAAAACTAATGATCGTCAGACACGGGACATGTTGACCGACCTGCAGATGCGGGTTGAGAAGCCAGCGTCCGATCAGACTGAACCTGGGATTGGCGACGACAGGGAGGAAGTGTTTCCTGTATCTGTGAGCAAACGGTCACACGGTCATTACTGGAGCCAGTAAACACCGAGACGGATCGACACGCGGATCGGCTTACACAGTCACTGACGACACCGAGAATATCCCGAACACCAGGAGCAGGACCACTGGAACGGCAAACCTCGTCCACTCATCCGAATCTGACCAATGAAGAAAGATCGATGAGTGTTTACTAATTATGTTTGCAGTAACATTATCCTCGTCTGTTGAGTGTGTGTGTGTGTGTGTGTGTAAGTGAGTGAGTGAGTGAGTGTGTGTGTGTGTGTATGTGTGTAAGTGAGTGTGAGTGTGTGAGTGAGTGAGTCAGTGAGTGAGTGAGAGAGTGAGTGAGGGAGTGAGTGAGTGTGTGTGTGTGTATGTGTGTAAGTGAGTGTGAGTGAGTGAGTGAGTCATGAGTGAGTGAGTGAATGAGTGAGTCAGTAAGTGAGTGAGTGAGTGAATCAGTGAGTGAGTTAGTGAGTGAGTCGGTGAGTGTGTGTGTGTGAGTGAGTGAGTGAGTGAGTGAGTGAGTGAGTGAGTGAATCAGTGAGTGAGTCAGTCAGTCAGTGAGTCGGTGAGTGAGTCAGTGAGTCATGAGTGAGTGAGTGAATGAGTGAGTGAGTCATGAGTGAGTGAGTGAATGAGTGAGTCAGTAAGTGAGTGAGTGAGTGAGTGAATCAGTGAGTGAGTCAGTGAGTGAGTCGGTGAGTCAGTAAGTGAGTGAGTGAGTGAGTGTGTGTGTGAGTCAGTGAGTGAGTCAGTCAGTCAGTCAGTGAGTCGGTGAGTGAGTCAGTGAGTGAGTGAGTGAGTGAGTGTGTGAGTGAGTCAGTCAGTGAGTGAGTGTGTGTGTGTGTGAGTGAGTGAGTGAGTGAGTCAGCCAGTCAGTGAGTGAGTCAGTCAGTCATTCAGTCAGTCGGTGAGTCGGTGAGTGAGTCAGTGAGTGAGTGAGTGAGTGAGTGTGTGTGTGTGTGTGTGTCAGTGAGTGAGTGAATGAGTGAGTGAGTCATGAGTGAGTGAGTGAATGAGTGAGTCAGTAAGTGAGTGAGTGAGTGAGTGAATCAGTGAGTGAGTGAGTGAGTGAGTCGGTGAGTCAGTAAGTGAGTGAGTGAGTGAGTGTGTGTGTGAGTCAGTGAGTGAGTCAGTCAGTCAGTCAGTGAGTCGGTGAGTGAGTCAGTGAGTGAGTGAGTGAGTGAGTGAGTGAGTGTGTGAGTGAGTCAGTCAGTGAGTGAGTGTGTGTGTGTGTGTGTGAGTGAGTGAGTGAGTGAGTGAGTCAGCCAGTCAGTGAGTGAGTGAATCAGTGAGTGAGTCAGTCAGTCATTCAGTCAGTCAGTGAGTCGGTGAGTCGGTGAGTGAGTCAGTGAGTGAGTGAGTGAGTGAGTGAGTGTGTGTGTGTGTGTGTGTGTCAGTGAGTGAGTGAGTGAGTGAGTCAGCCAGTCAGTCAGTGAGAGAGAGAATTCCAACTGTATTCAGGTCACATTGAAAACAGTCTCTCTTCAACAAACAGCACGTCACACGTCACTACAGTCAGTGTATATGACGTTCTTTAGAGCTGTACTGATTAAATCACACTCTGACCTCTCAGTGGTGTGCTGACGTCCAGACTGGCCTTTGTGAAGTTCCCGCTCGCAGTTTCTCCATGTATGCAGACGGAGTATCTGCTGTCAGGATGGAGATGGTGGAACGAGTGCTGATGCTGATCTGGAAACACTGAGAGAGCTGAGAAAACACAATCAGACACACATTAAACACACATCCTTCCCTCCGCTCATGAAGAAATTCGACAAATTGAGTTTATCCGAGGAGTCCAAAACCCCAGGACTGGTCTCGCACTTGAGAGAGCGGTCGGCAAACACACGCAATGTCAGATATTTAGAGCTGAATTAAAAGGGTTACGCATGAGATGGGAGTTATTTTGAATTTAAGTTGAAAGAATGTGAGGAATGTGCTTAAATGACAATTTATGTATAATTTACTGATCAAATCTAGTAATTTAAAGGTTAACCCTTGTGCATCCTTATGGACATTTTTGTCCTTTTCAGTTTTGTTTTTTTGATCACTTTGCCTGTGTTAAAGCTAACTGCAAAAAACTTGGCACAGGTGTGTATTTTTATTGGAATTTTACTATTTCACCGTCATTTTCTTAAAAAAATAATTGTTGCATTAGGTACAAAAAATACTCCCTCTCAGCACCTTTTGGACAAAAATGTCCCCATTGAAATCCATTAAAACTGCCATTTTTAATCCCCGCTTCAGTTAACTAGAAAATTATGCAGTCTTTGTTAAGAGGCTTTCATTCTGATGGCAAGGCTTGAAAATTTTATTTTTTACTATTTTTTTATCAGATGGTGTCATTTTTTTTAAGTTTGACCTATAAAACAAATATCGCTTTTTTCCTGTTTTCTGCTTCGGCATATTATAGAGCCAACTGGATACATTATGCAACAATATTTGTGTGGGTGTGTTGGAATGGATGTCAGAGTGTGGTTAGTATGTGTGTTATAAAAAAATATGTGTGTGTGTGCGCGTGTGTGTGTTTGTCAGACTGAGAGAGAAAAACTGCAAATTCAAATCCAGTCACTGTGAGCTCCAGTGGGGTTTTGCTGCCACCCAATGGGGAAAATATGTTACTACACCCAAACAAACTGTTACCCAAAGCTCATTTTTTGAGATATCATCCTCACATTTGGAACACAACCTATTTAGATTTATAGCTTTGATTTTATTGTAGTTTTGAGTTCAACCTGATTTAAAAAATATATATTTTATATAAAATATTATTTTATAAATAATTTTCATAAACTTATACCTATATAACTTTTTTTTGGGATTTACTTATTATTATTTTTTTACTTCAGCAATAATCTGCAAAGGGTCTTCTTTAAAATGATACCAAACTTAAGTCTGTGCTCCAAAGAGTCACATTTTTATGACAGTTTTTTGACATGGACATTTTTGTCCTCTTTTTACCTATGTGTAACTTTTTTTAATTGATGCACAAGGGTTAAAAATGCATTTAAAAACAGAAGCAGTATTATCAAACTGAAATAAGCTTTCTGGACGAAACATTTTAGGGCTTCGGGTGAGAACGAGCAGATTTTCTCCAGACTGAGATTGATATGAGTATTGAAGGGGACTCACACTCAGCTCCATGTTCTCCGCTCAACACCAGCTTGTACTGAAGCACTTTTACTCTCGGCTCCGTCTGCTTCCACGTCCACCTCACCGTCAGAGACGAGCGCGACACGTTCACCAGACGAAACTCGTCCACGTCCAGCAGAGCTGAGCAAACCAAAGCACAAACTCAACGTTTCTCAATGGCCTGTGAAGCTTTCATACGAGCGGCTCTTTACCTCCGTGCTGCAGATCGGCCGAGATGGAGGTCTGAGGCGCACACACAGAGCCGTACACGGGAAACACACTGATGGTGTAGTTCTCCTCCTGTTTCAGGCCTTCAACAACATCAGATCAGATTTAGATGCCATTTCATCTTATAAATAAGCTTTTCATATGTCCAGGTCACGATTTAACACAACACTGCAAAACATGATGTATTTTTCACTTGTTTTCCAGCACAAATATCTAAACATTCTTAATTCCAGGTACAGTTACTGGAGAAGCAAAATGACTGAAGATATAAAGTTTGTGTTTAAAACAAGAACAAATATCTGACAATGGAGTCAGAAAAAGAAACATAAACTATTATAAATGAGCAATTTTTCTGACCCCGCTGGCAGATATTTGTTCTTGTATTAAGCATTAATTTTGATAACTTTATCAGACTTAATATCTTCTGTTATTTTGCATCTCCAGTAAATGTCTCTTGATTTAATAATGTATAGATATTTGTGCTGGAAAACGAGACGAAGATGATTTTAATATTTAATATTTGTTGCAATTCTCAAAGATTCTCCTTAGGTTTTCATTACGGTAAGATTAATCCGATTAAAAAGTACTTAAGGATGTACTTTAATACTGTAATTTTTACTTGATTACAGGGAACAAAATATGGTAATACAATCATTTATTCTTTAAATTGACAAAGTAGAACAACTTAAATAAAGTAAAAAAAATAATGAGAATTGAATGACACAAGTTTATTAGCCATGAACATAATGTTACAATTCTATTTAACAATAGTTAACGCATGAACTAACAGTGTGCAATATAGTCTTACGGTATATTTATTAATGTTAGTTCATACAAATCTGATTCTTTAATGAACAAGAGTACATTAACTTAAATGCTGTAAAAGTGTTGTTCGTGTTAGTTCATGTTATTTGTTAACAAATAAAATCATATTGTAAATATTAATGCTCTAAAATCAATGCTTGTTTATTTGGTTTGTTGGATTAAAGGTGTGCCAGACACATTAATATTGTTATAAGTCCTCCGCTGACCTGTGAGACGGGTCGTGAAGGTGGACCCGTCGACTCGCTGCCAGTTTGCGTGTTTGGGGTCCTTGACGACGCTCCATTCGATGGCGAACTCGCTGACCTCTACATCAGTGATGTCACGACCCCATCGGACCCGCAGCGACGAGCCGTCAGAGTAAACCCAGAGAGACTTCACTGACCGCACATCTGAGGGAACACATCCAGATCCTCACACAACTCACACAACACTGCATTCACCAACATTCACACTGTGTGTCATCTTATTTATGTAGGCCCAATTCTTATTTGTGTTTAAAGGGATAGTTCAAATTAGCCCATGATTTACTCCCCCTCTAGTCATCCTAGGTGTATAAGACATTGTTCTTTCAGACGAATACAATCAGAGTTATATTATCCTGGCTCTTAAAAATAAATAAAAGTGCATTTATCCATCAGAGGTGAATTTATCCATCATAAAAGGGCATCTATCCATCATAAAAGTGCATCTATCCATCATAAAAGTGCATCTATCGTCATAAAAGTGCATCTGCCCATCATAAAAGTACATCTATCCATCATAAAAGTGCATCTGTCCATCATAAAAGTGCATCTATCCATCATAAAAGTGCATCTGTCCATCATAAAAGTGCATCTATCCATCATAAAAGTGCATCTGTCCATCATAAAAGTGCATCCGTCCATCATAAAAGTGCATCTATCCATCATAAAAGTGCATCTGTCCATCATAAAAGTGCATCTATCCATCATAAAAGTGCATCTATCCATCATAAAAGTGCATCTATCCATCATAAAAGTGCATCTGTCCATCATAAAAGCGCATCTATCCATCATAAAAGTGCATCTATCCATCATAAAAGTGCATCTATCCATCATAAAAGTGCATCTGTCCATCATAAAAGTGCATCTGTCCATCATAAAAGTGCATCTATCCATCATAAAAGTGCATCTGTCCATCATAAAAGTGCATCTGTCCATCATAAAAGTGCATCTATCGTCATAAAAGTGCATCTGCCCATCATAAAAGTACATCTATCCATCATAAAAGTGCATCTGTCCATCATAAAAGTGCATCTATCCATCATAAAAGTGCATCTGTCCATCATAAAAGTGCATCTATCCATCATAAAAGTGCATCTGTCCATCATAAAAGTGCATCCGTCCATCATAAAAGTGCATCTATCCATCATAAAAGTGCATCTGTCCATCATAAAAGTGCATCTATCCATCATAAAAGTGCATCTATCCATCATAAAAGTGCATCTATCCATCATAAAAGTGCATCTGTCCATCATAAAAGCGCATCTATCCATCATAAAAGTGCATCTATCCATCATAAAAGTGCATCTATCCATCATAAAAGTGCATCTGTCCATCATAAAAGTGCATCTGTCCATCATAAAAGCGCATCTATCCATCATAAAAGTGCGTCTGTCCATCATAAAAGTTCATCTGTCCATCATAAAAGTGCATCTGTCCATCATAAAAGTGCATCTGTCCATCATAAAAGTGCATCTGTCTAAATAAGAATAATTTTTTTTTATTTTTGGGTGAACTATCCGTTTAATGTATTTTAAATCCAGTATTTTATCTGTTATGCACCTGTTAAAATCATTTTTATGAAAAGCACAATGTCTATGGAGTGTGCTATTTGATTAAACTGGCCTTACCCATGAAGTATGCACTACAGATCAATCACACTAACGAGACGACGGCTGCTCACCGTGAGAACGAGACGCGTCGACGAGGAGGCGGCGGTGAGGCGAGTGTCCGGCGCCGTTATAAGCCCACACGGTCACCTCGTACTCCTCTGCCCGCACCAGAACCACTGCCTTCACAAACAACACCATTCAGTCCGATCTAACACAGCCGGACATTCATGAACACACTTTTCACAATCATACCGAGACCTCAGGATTTCTACTTCATCTCTAAAGGTAATCAAAATATAATTGTAAAAAATTTAAATTATTTAAAAAAATTATTTAAAAATGAATATTGATAATTAACAAAACATATCAAATAAATTTTAATAAAAATAAAAAATGTATACATTTAAAAATAAAATACATTTAAAATTCAAGTTAAAATATATATTAAAATTTGAAATACAAATTACATAAACAAAAATATATACAATAAATTAATAAAATGTCAAATTAAAATATAATAATAAAAAATAACATTAATTTAGAAGAAATTGTAAATAAAAATAGAATAAAATAAATAAATTGTAAAAAAATAAAAAAATAAAAAAACATAATAAATAATACAAAATAAAACAATTTACATTTAAGATGTAAAAATTCAAGTTAAAATAAACTTGACAATTAAATTGTAATTAATAAAAGAAAAATACAATAAAATAAACAGAATCTACCTTGAGCTCAGTGGTGTGGATGGTTTTCTTCAGAGAGGGCTGTTTGGTGGGCATGTAGGACACTTCATACCCTCGAATGAGTCCTCGAGCATCTGTGACGTCCAGAGCCTTCAGAAACACACACGACTGAAGACTGACGGCACGTGAGAGACGATACACACACACACCTGAAGAATATTACCTTCCAGAGAAGCAGCAGCTGCCGAAGCCCCGAGTTTACATCTGAAGCCACGTGATAACTGAGCGAGAGAGGCGCAGACGGCGCTGCAAACACAAGCCCAAGAACATGACGGCACGAAAACACATTAGGAAACTTCAGTCTGCGTGAATGTCAAATACATTAAAGGGATAGTTTACACAAAAATTAAAATTAGCCCATGATTTACTCTCCCTGCACTCTAAAAAATGCTGGGTTGTTTTAACCCAATTTTGGGTCAAATATGGACAAACCCGAAATGTTGGGTTAAAAATGTAATGTAAAAATTTAACCCAACGGCTGGGTTAGTCCATATTTGACCCAAAGTTGGGTTAAAACAACCCAGCATTTTTTAGAGTGTGACATCATCCTAGGTGTATATGTCATTCTTTTTTCAGACGAATACAATCAGTTATATTAAAAATGTCTTGGCTCTTCCAAGCTTTATAATGGCATTGAATGATCTATCCATCATAAAAGCGCATCTATCCATCATAAAAGTGCATCTATCCATCATAAAAGTGCATCAGTCCATCATAAAAGTGCATCTATCATCATAAAAGTGCATCTATCATCATAAAAGTGCATCTGTCCATCATAAAAGTGCATCTATCCATCATAAAAGTGCATCTATCCATCATAAAAGTGCATCTATCCATCATAAAAGTGCATCTGTCCATCATAAAAGTGCATCTGTCCATCATAAAAGTGCATCAGTCCATCATAAAAGTGCATCTATCATCATAAAAGTGCATCTATCATCATAAAAGTGCATCTGTCCATCATAAAAGTGCATCTGTCCATCATAAAAGTCCATCTATCCATCATAAAAGTGCATCTATCCATCATAAAAGTGCATCTGTCCATCATAAAAGTGCATCTATCCATCATAAAAGTTCATCTAGGATGGTTTGAGCCAGGGTGAGTAAATCATGGGAATTCTCATTTTTGGGTGCACTATCCCTTAAAGCAAGTGTCAGTGAGTAAAAATGATCATAAGCCTGAGATTCAGACACTGGATCTAACGAACAACAGTCAGGGTCAGTGCATCAGTTCTGTTCGGGTCACTCACGGCTCTCGGACGTCTTTACTCGTGTCTCGCTGCTCCAGTCGCTCCACCGGCTGAGATCTTGAACGCAGGAGATGCTCAGATGATACTCGCTGAAGGCCTGTAAACCCTCAATCATGAACAGAGACTCCTCTGAGGCGGGAAAATCTGCAGTCTGACGTGAAACAGAAGCTTTTACTTCAATGAGCATCTCTAAACATCATCAATCAGATTCAAAGATCTAATGAAGTCAAATATAAAAATGAAGTAAAATAAGATAATATAAAAAAGATTTAGAAAAAATGAAAGCACCCACACAAAAAAAATATATTTTCAAGCTATTTCTGACCTCTGTCCATGAATCTGTGTTGAGACGTTTGTAGCGGATTCGGCATTTAGTTGTTCTCCCGCCATTCCATGTGACGTTGACTGACGAGTCTGTGACATTAACAGACGTGATCACCGGCCGAGGAGCCTGGACTACAACATTCAGAAGACAAAAACATCACATCTCAACCCATCACATCACAACTCAACTCATCAAATCTCAACCCATCACAACCCATCACACCACATCTCAACCCATCACACCACATCTCAACCCATCACATCACATCTCAACCATCACATCTCAACTCATCAAATCTCAACCATCACATCACATCTCAACTCATCAAATCTCAACCCATCACACCACATCTCAACCATCACATCACATCTCAACCCATCACAACCCATCACACCACATCTCAACCCATCCCATCACATCTCAACCATCACATCTCAACTCATCAAATCTCAACCATCACATCACATCTCAATTCATCAAATCTCAACCCATCACACCACATCTCAACCATCACATCACATCTCAACCATCACATCACATCTCAACTCATCAAATCTCAACCCATCACATCACAACCCATCACACCACATCTCAACCCATCCCATCAAATCTCAACCCATCACATCACAGCCCATCACATCTCAACCATCACATCACATCTCAACCCATCACATCAAATCTCAACCCATCACAACCCATCACACCACATCTCAACCATCACATCACATCTCAACTCATCAAATCTCAACCCATCACAACCCATCACACCACATCTCAACCCATCACATCACATCTCAACCATCACATCACATCTCAACTCATCAAATCTCAACCATCACATCACATCTCAACTCATCAAATCTCAACCCATCACAACCCATCACACCACATCTCAACCCATCCCATCACATCTCAACCATCACATCACATCTCAACTCATCAAATATCAACCCATCACATCACAACCCATCACATCTCAACCATCACATCACAACTCAACCCATCACATCTCAACCCATCACAACCCATCACACCACATCTCAACCCATCCCATCAAATCTCAACCCATCACATCACAGCCCATCACATCTCAACCATCACATCACATCTCAACCCATCACATCAAATCTCAACCCATCACAACCCATCACACCACATCTCAACCATCACATCACATCTCAACTCATCAAATCTCAACCCATCACAACCCATCACACCACATCTCAACCCATCACATCACATCTCAACCATCACATCACATCTCAACTCATCAAATCTCAACCATCACATCACATCTCAACTCATCAAATCTCAACCCATCACAACCCATCACACCACATCTCAACCCATCCCATCACATCTCAACCATCACATCACATCTCAACTCATCAAATATCAACCCATCACATCACAACCCATCACACCACATCTCAACCCATCCCATCAAATCTCAACCCATCACATCACAGCCCATCACATCTCAACCATCACATCACAACTCAACCCATCACATCTCAACCCATCACAACCCATCACATCACATAAAAAGACATTAAAAGCAACTATAAAATACTGATTCAACTTTGTTTCATAAATGACAAATTTTGCAACATTAACCGTTGTTTAACTGAACTGAATCAACACCGACTGAATTGATCTGAATAATGACTCTTGACTTCTTTGGAGCTGCTTTACAGCAGAAATTGTTAATACTGTGAAGCTACTTTGAAACAACCTGTGTTGTTTAAAGCACTGTATAAATAAAGCTAAGTATCTGTATTTTAACTTTCATACAATGTCTACTTTCTACACCCCTGCTGTCATCTTATCTTACCAATTTCCTTAATGATCACTGGATAGACATCAGAGAACCACTCTTTCTGGCTGACGATGCTCTTTGACTTGATGGTTAAATTGAAATGTGAATATAAATGTAAAATGGAAGGACAATTGATGTCAGTTCTATAAAACAAAAAAACAATATTATCATGCCAGTTCGTATGAAGACGGATTAGTTTATTTTCAGATGCTCTAATGGAGGTTTCTATGGAAGCTTGATTTTGCCAAAGGATTTAAAAAAAAAATAAAAAAAATGGTAATTGCCACTTTTTATCTAAGTCTGATTTACTGTATAAACTTGTGATTGTGAGTTATAAGAGATATCCAATAAACTCACAATTTGCGGGAAAAAAGCCACACTTGCTAATTTGTTTTGCAACATTGCGACTTTGTTTTTAAGAATTGCAACATTATTTGTCGAATTTGACTTTATAACTGGCAATTGTGATTTTATATCCTGCAATTCTGAATATTTCTCTGAATTTTGACTTTATAACTCTCAATTGTGATTTTATATCTATCTTTCTTACGCTAAAAATTGCGTATCATATGCACGCGAAAAACGCGTACCATATCCACGCAAAAACAGTTTTTGGCGTATAAATGCCACAAGAAATGACATTCGTGCTATAGATACGAACTTTCATGAGATCGGGCTCGCGGAGACGCATTTAAAACACACCGCGATCGGGCATGTGACGGATTGATTGCGACTGAACTTTGTTTTACAGAATTGTGATTAAAACTTCCAGTTGTGAATATTTTGCAATTCTCTCAGAATTGCAACTGTGACTTTAATTTTCAGAATTATGACATCTCGCAATTCCAAGTTATGTCTTCAATTGCGAGAAAACTTTCAAAATTGTGAGATAAAAATTGCAATTACCTCTATTTTTCATTCCATGGTGGAATCAAGCTTTGATAGGTTTCTGATGCATCTGACACTGTTACCTTCTGAAAATGAAGGTTTCCGTTCGGACGTCGTTCATCTGAATCCACCTGCAGGTGATCGACTCCTCATGGGACAGAAAGTGGCATGACGTGTTCACAAATCTCTCTAGAGAACAAAGATGGACATTAAAACTGAACCAGCTGCAGATCTGAGGATAAACCCATGTCAGGCTCATTAAAGCACTCGCACCAGGAGTTGCAGTGAGAACATCTGATTCTGCGGGACAGTCGGCACTGGACATCACACACACATTCTTCCCACAATCCTTCAGGTCCCTCGCAGTCACCGTGAGCTCTGGAAAACAGTCTCATTCACTCACACACTTCATGTGCTAGAATGTTTTTAATGCACATGCGTGTCAACAACAGAAGTTTACCTTGAATGCTGAAAACAGGCTTTCTCTTCAAAGCACCTGTAAATCAACAAAGATAAAATAATCCAACAAAACTGAACTGATTTAAGCTATAATTAATGACACCATTGTCTATTTTCTAGATGCTTTACAGTATAAGTGTGCACACTGCAAACAATTATTTTCTTACTTTCACATTCACTAATCGAAGTGGGGAAAAATAGCTTACATTTTAATTCAAAGGGAATTAAACCCAGGTTATTTGTTAGATATTAAGCATATTCACTTAGTTTTGATTATTTTTTTTGTATTTTAATCTTCAAGTAAATGTCTTGATTTAAGAATCGGTTTGCAGTGAATTGATTCTGTTATTCTGCTTTGAAACAATCTGTACTGTAGCCTATAAAGTGCGGTACTTTATTTTACAGTTTTATAATAACAGTAAATTATGCATAATTACATGCAATTTACCCTAAACCACCAATTTACCCAATAATAATTAATTATTATTAATCAGTTCTTAAATATAATTACTCTGCAACAATGACACCTTAAAATAAAGTGTAACCTAAAGCGCTGTAGAAATAGACACAATAAGAGATACACACGTGAATGAAGAAGGTTACTCACAACAGATGCAGAACACACAGATCAACACACACACAGATCTTCTGCCGGACATGTTGTCATCTGCAAAGAACAAGTGTGAAGTGTTTGTAAAATAAAATCTCCACAGCCAAAAGAACTGATAATCGGACGCACTCGGTTTGATGGACTGAATGCTCGCATGCTGTTGGAAACGCTGGGCTTCTGTGGTTTCTGTCTCAGTTTCTCACAGGTTTAGGGGAACACTGATAACATCGAGATGAAACTGCAGAAAAACACTTCCTTTGACTCTTTCCTTCCATTTCACTTGTGGTTGAATTCAGTCGAACTGAACGAATCGACAGGAGTTTGATCTAGCCTATTATCGTCCATCTAAGAAGAGTTTGGGAAAAAACTGCAACTTTTAAACACTAATTTTAAATAATATGATTTCTTGGTGCCGCTTTACAATAATAAATCTCATTTGTTAACATTTAATAGCCTATAGCTATAAACTAACAATGGCCTTTAATGCTAATGCTAATTAATCAAAATAGGCTAATGCGTAAACTGATGCAATCTCTTGATCTTAATGTAGGCTATTTGTAAATGTTTAGGTTAACATATGAATATTAAATGTTGTAGAAGTGTTGTTCGTTGTTAGTTCGTCTTAACTTCACTAATTTTAACACGTGAAATTGTATAAAGTGTTTCAGTTTTTCTGTTCGACTTGAATGTTGTTAAAAGATCATAGTTTAGTCGAGCGAACAAAGCAAAATAATCAAATTCTGGGAAAAACAGTCTCAGATAGCACACGTTTGTTGAAGATCACTTCTGGAAACATGTTTGAAGTCAATTTACATACATTCTAAATCATTACATCTTAAAGACATCTTCTAAACGTCTATTTGACACCTGACAGGCTAGACGTATTGCAGATGAGAAAACACTAATCTTCCAAATGTAAACACGCAAATCAAATGACGTCACCGTGATCTAAGTGTGCTATCTGAGAATCAATATTTCAACATTTTAACGGTTAATTCCGAAATGCTGATGCCAAGATATAAACGTACGTCACACGAGTTACAACATTTTAAAGTCATATCAACTCATCTTTATACAGCGCGTTTTAGTGTTTCAAAACAGCTTTACAGAGAAAAAAGAAGAATAATGCAACAAAGTTTATCTAGAAGAGAATAGCGTCACAGTCAGCTTGTAAGTTCAGTGATGGTTCATTTTTGTTGTAAATAAAGTTATTAATTTAGTTCATCGTCAAGCTCAGTTCAGTTCTTGTATAATAGTGTCAATGCAGGAGATCAATAATATTGCTGAATATTAAATTTAATGTTAAATATTAAGTAGGCAAAACTAAGCAAGCAAAGCCAAAGGCGATAGTGAACCGAAACGCCATCAGTGCCAGAATGGAGGAAAACGCTAATTTCTGCTCTGGCCAATGAGCGATCAGTGTATGATTATTGAGGCAGCATTAGAAGTCTGATTGGGTTTGGAACTATCAGAATATTAGAGCAATATAAAGAGCAGATTAAACATGCTTTAAAGCAGCTGGAAGAAATAAAGCAAATGAATCGCATGATCACCATCACGTGTAAAAAGTGTTCAGTCGCAATCATCATCACACTTACCTGGAACAGATGAAGATCATGAGTTTCACAGCAACAAGATACCAACCAATCAATCAGAGTATTGGCCAATAGGAGTTCAAAAGAATCATGATGATGAAATCAAGCTAGTTCACAGATTATTCATTTGATTGCTCGGCTGATGCTTACTGTTGTGTCTAATAAACTGGCTGAATCTCATTACTGAATTGTAATTTGAAACATTCAAACTGCTTAAAATAGGCAACTTGAGTCCAGTGCAAGTGGAAATCACATTCTTAAATTAAAAACATCGCACAGTAATGTCATGACTTACCCATTTGGATGCAGCAAAAATCAATGGAGAAATGAGTTTCTTCTCTTAATCAGATGAAAATGAGTCTGATCACATGATTCGAGGAATCGTTCTGGGGTGCGTTTCCCCAAAAGCATCAGTGGACAAGACAAATAGGATCGCTATTTCCACTGAACTCTATTGGGAACGACGGAACTTGCAACCTTGGTTGGTTTTGGGAAACACACTCCAGATCTGGAAAACAAACGCTGCACACACACTATAAAACAGGTCTACTCTGGACTATTTCTGTCTTGTTTTCCGGCACAAATATCAAAACACTCTTATTGTCATTTTGCTTTTCCAGTATAATGCGTCTTGATTTAAGAATGTTTAGATATTCGTGCTGGAAAACGAGGCAGAAACACTGACAGAACATCAGAGTAATCAGTGCTAGTCAAACATTAGATAGATGGATCCACGACGACAGTGAAACGCACCGCACATTTTAATATGAGTGTGACATACATACCATATAAAAACAAACAACTCATTTATTGCCAATAATAAATATGATATATTTTCACTCTGTTTCACATTTTCAGTAAGTCATTAAAAACGTAATTAATTCTCCAAGTTTATTCCCGTCAGTGTGATTTTCCCTGAGAACTGGAACTCCTGCTTCAGGAGGAGCATCATATCATATAAAAACAAACAATTAATTTATGGCCCATTTATAAATACGAGATGTGTTCACATTTCCAGTAAGTCAATAAAACCTCATAGCTTAATTAATTCTCCGAGTTTATGCACCGTCAGAGTGATTTTCCCACAGAGCTGGAACTCCTGCTTCAGGAAGTCCCCGATATCCTCGCAGTAGCGGACGTCGCAGTAAAGCCAGATCTGCGCCAGCGCTCGCTGGAAGTTTGCGTTGCAGGAGGGCATTCGGGAACGCCGGACGGCCCGGATCAGATCCCGCCACAGATCCTCCATGTCGCGAGAGCCACAGTTACGCTCACACACAACCCACTTCACCCGCTGACGCAGATCCAGCCCGTGATCCTCGATGATCCGCCGGAAGGGACGAGAGAATGAGCGTGGGATCCGGAGCGGAGCGGATCTGTGTGAGATCACACACCACGAGCGCTCGAACCTCTGAGGATCCGGGACGGGTTTACTCTGGGATCTGGAGTCTGAAGCTTCCCGTGGGATCTGGTGTGTGATCTCGTTTGGGATCTGGTGTGGGATCTCATTTGGGATCTCGTTTGGGATCTGGTGTGGGATCTCGTTTGGAATCTGGTGTGGGATCTCGTTTGGGATCTGGTGTGGGATCTGGTGTGTGATCTCGTTTGGGATCTGGTGTGGGATCTGGTGGGGGATTTCGTTTGGGATCTGGTGTGTGATCTGGTGTGTGATCTGGTGTGGGATCTGGTGTGTGATCTCGTTTAGGATCTGGTGTGTGATCTCGTTTGGGATCTGGTGTGGGATCTCGTTTGGGATCTGGTGTGTGATCTCGTTTGGGATCTGGTGTGGGATCTTGTTTGGGATCTGGTGTGGGATCTGGTGTGGGATCTGGTGTGTGATCTCGTTTAGGATCTGGTGTGTGATCTCGTTTGGGATCTGGTGTGGGATCTCGTTTGGGATCTGGTGTGTGATCTCGTTTGGGATCTGGTGTGGGATCTTGTTTGGGATCTGGTGTGTGATCTGGTTTGGGATCTGGTGTGGGATCTCATTTGGGATCTGGCGTGTGATGATCTCGGAGGAGGAGATCAGAGGTGGAGGTTTCCGGGGTCTGATGGGTTTTCGGGAGTCTGACGCTGACGGAAACCAGGGTTTGAATTCAGGCAGGATTGTGTTGGGAAAGTCCTGGAGAACTCTCTGTGTGAGGAGCACGACGTCTCTGAGCTCCAGCAGCGGACGGAAATACACACTCACATCCTCCTGACAACACACACAACTCGTCTTTATGTACACTTTATATGTGTGTGAAAGAGTCTCTTCTGCTCACCAAGGCTGTGCAAAAATACTGTAAAAACAGTTAATATTATTGTAATGCAAATCAGCTGTTTCCTATGTAAATATACAGTAAAGTGTAATTTTTTCCTGTGATTTTCAGCATCATTACTCCAGTCTTCAGTGTCACATGATCCTTCAGAAATCATCAATTCAGATTATTATCTATGTTGAAAAGAGTTCATATTTTTCTTTTTCAGGATTATTTGATGATTAGAAAGTTCATAAGAACAGCATTAATTTGAAATAGAATCGTTCGTGACAATTTGATCAGTTTAATGCGTCCTTGATGAATAAAAGTTTTTTTTTTAAAGTAAACATACCCCTAACTTACACAGAAAATATGAACTGTTTTCAACATTGAGAAGAATGTTTCTTGATCATGTAATCCTCATATTAGAGTGATTTCTGAAGGATCATGTGACACTGGAGTAATGATGCTGAAAATCACAGGAATAAATTACACTTTACTGTATATTCACAATGAAAACAGTGACTATTTTTACTATATTTTTGATCAAATAAACAGCCTTGGAGAGAGGAAGAGACTCTTCCAGAAACATTTAAAACGAACAAAAATCCTAATGTTTGACTGGTAGTAAATACAGACCTACACAAAACGCGTGTAGTTAGTTACACATAGGAATAATAAACAGATAACATTTTGCAAGGTAACTATAGTTAACTTTCAGGTTTGTGAAAACGATATATCACATTAACAATCACTTACTCTTTAACTCACCTTCATTTCCTGAGACATATTTCATGATCTTTAAAAACATGTTATCGAGTTTTGTGATCGCGCTCAAAGTAAACATTCAACATGCTAACATGCTAATAGCTAGCTCTCTCTGGGCCAACAGGCGGCGCTGTGAGTGACGCCATACCGGAAACACTGAAGACGAGAGGGAGAACACGCCCACTCTGCCGGATGTGTCGTGTACACACAGAAACACTCATCAGCGTTTCACTTCCACTCGTTAGGAATCAAACGTGTACTTTATAAACAGGGAATACACTGAGGAGAATCTGGAGACATGGCGTATCTAACGACGAACCCGGCGGATAAAGAGCGGTCAGTGTCAGCTGTGCTTACTCACAACTTAATATTATTACATCTGTTAGAGAGAGAGAGAGAGCGAGAGAGAGAGACAGAGACAGACAGACAGACACAGAGTGTATGAGTGAGTGACTGACTGATAAAAGAGAGAGAGACAGAGAATGTGTTTGTGTAAATGTGAGTGTGTGCGCGCGAGTGAGAAACAGAGTGTGGGAGTGAATTTATGTATACGTTATATGTGTGTTTGTATACACACAAACACACAATGAGAGTGAGTAGTCTAGCATATTGATCTTTAATCAGTGTTTATCCTCCAGGTTTATGTGTATTTATCCATCGTACATCAACAGTAAAAAGACATTAGCAGAAGGCAGAAGAATCGCTGCAGAGAAGGTGAGTGTGTGTGTGTGTGTGTGAGAGAGAGAGAGAGAGAGAGAGACTGACAGCATTGCTCGCTAGTGTTGATGTACGTGTGTGTGTGTGTGTGTGTTCCTCAGGCTGTGGAGAACCCGTCCTGCACTGAGATCCGAGATGTTCTGGTCGCCGCTGGACTCAATGTTCTTGTGGAGGTTCGTCTGTCACTCAAACGAGCAGACTCTCATGACGTCATCAGTGTGTATTCTCCTGTATGAGTCATGACATCATCAGTGTTTCTCTCGCAGAACAAGATGTATCCGCGCGAGTGGAACCGAGACGTGCAGTTCAGAGGGAGAGTTCGCATCCAGATCAAACTCGAGGACGGAAGTCTCTGCCAGGAGAAGTTTGCGTCCAGTAAATCATTTTAAAGTGTTTCCATCATCATCATCATCAGTTCACACACTCCCTCTCTCACATATAGACTCTGTCTCTCTCTCTCTCTCACACACACACACACACACTTCAAACTCACCGCCTTTAAAGATTGAAATCTACAGACTCGTGTGTATTAAGCACTGAGATGTGTTTTCTCCACTAGCAATAAAAACAATATTGCGCCGTTAAATTCAGCGTATAACGAGAGGAAATGACATCACTCTTCTCCCTGCCTCCAGGAAAGGACGTGATGTTTTACGCGGCGGAGATGATCCCGAAACTGAAGAGCCGAACGCAGAAGAGCGGCGGAGCCGAGGCCGGAGCCCAGCCGGGGGAGGGGGGGAAGAAAGGGAAGAAGAAGAAGAAGTAGAGGATGAGGAGGGTCACCGCATCGCGCCTCCATTTTGTTTCTCCGTTGACGGACTCCAGACGGACGCTTTCAATGAAAAACACTTTCGTTTAAACATCAGATTTTTGTTTTTTGATCTTTTGCTTTCAGGAGACAGAGTTTTGTTAATCACTCATGATGGATTGAGTTTAAACGACGAGCGCTGACAGAGCTTGAAATACTCGTGTGTGTGTGTCGGATCAGTGTTTGGGCATCCTTCACCGCACCTGTTCAGAGCCTGAATATTTCCATCTGTCGTTTGTGAGTGTGAAATAAAGAGAATCGAACACAGCTCAGGAGTGTGTGTGTGTGTGTGTGTTTATTGTGGCATCGGATCAGTGTGAGCTCCTCGTCATGCGGCGCTCGAGTTCGTCTCGCGGTTACTGAAGTTCTTCAGATGTTTGGTCCGAGCCTCCAGTCTCTCGAGCCACTCGTCACGCAGCCTGAAACACACGGGACGTCCTGTTCATCATGTTTATCATATTCAACTCTGCAGAAAACAGTTTATTTCAAGCATATTCACCAGTGAGACTTCTGCTCACTAATGCTACGTTTATTAAATCAAAAAATGTATTATAATGTAAATCATCAGTTTTCTATGTGAGTATACAGTAAAGTGTAATTTATTCCTGTGATTTTCAGCATCATTACTCCAGTCTTCAGTGTCACATGATCCTTCAGAAATCACTCTAATATTATTATCAGTGTTCAAAACTGTTATTTAAATTTTTATTGCAGGATTTTTTAATGAATAGAAAGATTTTGTAATATTAAACACTACCGTTCAAAAGTTTGGGGTCGGCAAGGATTTTTATTTTATTTATTGGGGGGGAAAGAAATAAAAGAAATCAATACTTTTATTCATTAAGGATGCATTCAATTGATCAAAAGTGACATTAAAGACATTTATAATGTTATTTCGGATGAGTGCTTCACTTTTATTTATAAAGATACACTACTATAATCGAGAACAAAAAAACAAGATAAACAATAAAAAGTACGACACCATTAACCTTTTTTAAATAAACATGAGCTCAGACAAGTAATACGATGATCTGCTGCTCAAGGAACATTTATGATTATCACCAATGTTCATATATTTGTGGAAACTGATACATTTTATTTTTCTGGATTCTTTGACGAATAGAAAGTTCTAAAGAACAGCGTTTATTTGGAATAGAATCTTTTGTAACATTATAAAATGTCACTTTTGGTCAATTTAATGCATCCATGATGAATTAAATCTAGCATTTTTGAACTGCAGTGAATAGATGTATTAATTATTTTCTCTTTTTATTTTAAGCTTATCTTAAATAATTCTCTCAATACACTGTATGTGGGAACGAGTGTTTATAATATTGTATTTGCACAGCTGTCCTGGATTATTGATTGGAGGCTGATAATCTTCTGTGGTCAGCAGGACGCGGGATATTAAATATCAGCTCAGAAACACACACCCAATATCCCTTCACACCCGCTTCATGGGTATTATAATAATAAAGCAGAAAATTTTTTTTAGCTGAGCAACGATTAATCGCATTCAAAATAAAAGTGTGTGTTTACATAATATGTGTGTGTATCATTATTTTGTATATATATATATATATACACACACATGCACGTATATATTTAAGAATATAAAATATATATTTCTATGTATAAATATATGAAGAGTTCAGATGCAAAAGCCTCTAAATGCCATTTGAAATTTTCTTCTTTATTGATGATTTTTATCACACTTATATATTTAAGTTCAGTAATTTCACTTAAATGGCAATGATAATTACCTATCAATTGTTATTTAAGTGAAATCACTGAACTTAAATATAAAAGTGTGATAAAAATCATCAATAAAGAAGAAAATTTCAAATGGCATTTAGAGGCTTTTGCATCTGAACTCTTCATATATACAAAATAAGCATGCACATATTTCTTGAATATATACATGCATGTGTATATATACAAAATAATTATACACAATTATTTTGAATGCGATTAATCGTTGCCAAGCATTAAAAAAAATATATTGGGTTTGAAAAGTTTATTTTCTTCTTTATTTTTTTAATTATTCAGGATATATTATACAGGTGAAACTCGCCTGTATAAATCTGAATATAGTTCATTTATTTCAGTAATTCAACTTAAAAAGTGAAACTAATATATTATATAGACTCATTACATGCAAAGTGACATATTTCAAGCCTTTATTTGTTATAATTGTGATGATTATGGCTTACAGATATGAAAACCTTTTCACAATATTCTAATTTTGAATTTGGGGTTTAAGCCATAATCATCACAATTATAACAAATAAAGGCTTGAAATATCTCACTTCGCATGTAATGAGTCTATATAATATATTAGTTTCACCTTTTAAGTTGAATTACTGAACTTTTGCACCATATTCTCTAATTTTGCGAGGTTCACCTGTATAATATTGTTCAGTGCTTTAATATATGCAGAATTGCCTGTATTAACACAGCAGTGCTTTAAAGGAAAGACAACATCAGTAAGAGTGTACGGTGATGAAAGCGCAGGTGGTGTGTGTGTGACTTACTTGGTGAGAGCGCTCTTCTTCATCCTGTCTTCCTCCACGTCTCTCATGTGACCGTGATTGACGATCTTCTGCTCCCAGAACGTCTTGATGAAGAGTTTGTCATGAATGAGAGCAGAACTCATGTCCTGCGGAGAGAACAACATCATCATCATCATCATCAGAGGTCAAAGGTCACGTCTCCAAAGGAAAGAATAAACTGAAGTGAGTGTTGTGTGTAGTGACCTGTGATTGAGCTGTTCAGCACGACGACGCGGTGTGTGTGTGTGTGTGTCTTTATACGTGTCATCATCAGCGTCTGTAACGGTGTGTGTGTCCGAGCTCCTCCTCGAGTTTATTTCAGATCGCTCGGCCTTTCTCTCCTCGCTGTCGATGGACAAACAAAACCGTGAACACTAATGAACTTATCACTGCAAACACCTGATGACAGTATCATGTTCACATCTCAGCAACACACACACACTCACAGTGTCACACTCGGGAGTTCACACCTGATATCCGCCTGCATCCATTACATGAAGAATGTATTTTTAAGGTGGAAAACATCTCGCATATGTTGTAAAGCACCATTGCATCTAAAATAACCCCGTCTAATCATCAAGTGACAGACGCATTAAAACACGTGTGTCACGGCTCAATCTGCACTTGCGTGTTCAGAGGAACATCTCTCGCATCTGTGCGTCCACCACCAGCTCATTAAAATTGACCTTTAGTGTAGAATATTGCAGGGTTTGTTCTAAATGACTTATGTGTGTGCGGCGCATCATTATAGCGTTAGTAATCTGGAATCAGAATCAGTTCCTTCTCTGATGATGCGGGCGGGGCTATAACCTGTCACTCACACGAGATCAGCCAATAGCAAACCACAAACATCCAATCAATTCCCCACAGACACAATCAAGCCCCGCCCACATTTTTGAGGCGTAAAAAAAAAAAAAAAGCTTACGACATAAAATGTACTTAACCCTCTGGGGTTGTTCGTTTCAGAGTCACACTCGGGGTGTTCAGGTCCAAATGGACCTAAAAGGGCGGGATTCATATTAAAAAAAAAAAAAAATCATGAT